GAGAGAGAGAGAGAGAGAGAGAGAGAGAGAGAGAGAGAGAGAGAGAAAGAGAGAGAGAGAGAGAGAGAGAGAGAGAGACCTTATGTTTTCACTTATTAGTGGAAACATGTACGTAGGTGCCAATGGCATTGACCGGCTTTCTCTATCCACGTGCCTCGTATAATATACGTGATCTGACTGTTAAATGTCAGCAAATATCGACGATAGCAGAAGCAAGCTATGTAGGTACCGACTTAACATGAAACCTGTCGGATAGGTCAGACAGAGAAAGAGACGGAGCGAGAGCGAGAGAGAGACGGAGCGAGAGCGAGAGAGTGATGAGAAAGGGTGAGAGAGGGAGAGAGAAAGGAGAGCGAAAGGCAAAAAAATAAAAAGACACGAAAGAAAAAATATAAAACGGGAAAACGAAAAGAGGAAATACCAGAAAAAAAAGAAATATAAAACAAAACAAAAAGAAGATAAAAAGAGAACGAGAGAGAACTAACGAAGACAGCGTTCGTTGCTTAGCGTAGTCTCGTGCAGTTACAGGCAGATCTCAAACACAACCTGCCAAGGTCACTCTGTCTCCTCCAGTCACGGGAGTCAACAAATACAAAGACATAGAAGTAGAGACGGAGCGAGAGCGAGAGAGTGATGAGAGGGAGAGAGAGCGAAAGGCGAGCGGAAGGCAAAAAGAGAGAAAAAGAAACGAAAGAAAAACGATAAAAGAGGAAAGCGAAAAGAGGGAATATGATAGAAACAAAAGAGAAAATGAAATAAAAAAAGATGAAAAAAGGAAAGAAAAAAAGGAAAGAAAAAAGAGAAAACGAGAGAGAACAAACGAAGACAGCGTTCGTTCCTTAGTGTAGTCCCGTGCAGTGTACACAACCTCAGTAAGGAGTGAAAAAAGAGAAAGAACACGGGCGGAGTGTAAACAACCTCACAACCTGCCAAGGTTACCCTGTCTCCTGCAGTCACGGGAGGCAACAACACACGGCCGCCAGTGTCGCAATCTGTCACCACAGCTCATAGTAACGACATGTCAACGACGGGCTGCTGCTGTTGTTGATGCTGCACGGCCGCCGCCATGTTGTTGATGCTGTTTTTTATTTTTCTTTTTCACCCTAAAATACGAATTCTTTTGGTCTTACTGTAATTTGCTACCAAATGTCAGTAAAATGTACACTAATATTTAAAAAAAAAGCATCATTTAACCCGTTATCTTAATGCTATATCGTAATTAAACGTATGTTGTTTGATCGTTTTCGTTTCCAGTTGGGGTCTGGACTGGGGTGCGGGAGGCTACGCTCTAGTGAAGAAGCTGGAGTGTAACATCTGCCAGGCAATATTCCAGCCTATCCTGATGCAGGGAACAAAGATGGCGTCGACAATCATGCTAGGTCTTAAAAATGCAAATGTTATAGTATAATGTGTAACGCGTGAATGTTATATCAACGACGATTTATATAATATGTATAATATACGAAAAATATCAAGTGTTTTATTTCATTCGGTCTCTAATCGTTTGTAAAATGTTGTATTAATGAGTATTTATACGTATTTTTGAGTCACTATTGATAATTGTGTACTAATGAAGTACTAATTGAGTACTAATCGAGTACTGATTGAGTACTAATTGGGTACTGATTTAGTACTAAGTAAGTACAGATCGAGAAATTATCCCATGCATTTTGATAGCTTTCCCACTATATCATATATAACATCAATACAATTCCAGAGCAGACATGTAACAATGAAATGATTTAATGAAGAGAACAATGCGAGCAGAAACGCTCGCTCAGGCAGGAAGCAGAGAGTAAGGACTGAATCTCACCATACTGATTTAAAATTAAACTAAAAAAATTAACAAAACACAACCAAGTAAACAAGCGATCGTCCGCATCTGAAAACTATACATAATAAGACATATTATTGATAAATATAAGACATATTACTGATACGCATTATTGATACATATAAGACATATTATTGATACACATTATTGATACATATAAGACATATTATTGACACATATTATTGATACATATAAGACATATTATTGCTACATATAAGACATATTATTGACGCACACTTAACGACATCTATACAGCCAGACCCATATATCACCGACTATGTAGCCGCCTTTTACCTACTGGTCACAGCGTAATCACAGCATAATCCATATCATGATGCTCCTAAGAATCTTGTATTATGAGATGTATTATGAGAAGTATTATGCGATGACAACTGAGATTATCCTGTATCTTGTATAATTTCAACACAATATTATCGTGTTTGGCAGATATTGGGCCATGCGCGAACACAGGTCTCCAGCTTTTCATTCGCATGTAAATCTGTGCGGCAGGGCCCTTTATTAAATGCTTTATCTGTGCGGCAGGGCCCTTTATTAGATGCTTTATCTGTGCGGCAGGGCCCTTTATTAGATGCTTTATCTGTGCGGCAGGGCCCTTTATTA